GTGTATATATATATATATATATATATATATATATATATATACACAGACACACACACACCATGGAATACTACTCTGCCATAAAAAAAGAATGAAATTCTCCCATTCACAACAACATGGACGGGCTTGGAGAAACTTATGTTGAGTGAAATAAGCAAAGCACAGAGAGAAAAATACTGCATGTGCTCACTCATAAGTGGGAGCTAAGAGAGAAAGAAGGAAGGAAAGCATGTCAAATGGATACCTACACTCCCATGTTCATTGTCGCTCTGTTCACAATAGCCAGGATATGGAACCAACCTAAATGTCTATAGATGGATGATTGGATAAGGAAAATGTGATATATATACACTATAGAATACTATTCTGCCATAAAAAAGAATGAAATTCTTCCATTTGCAACCACATGGATGAGCTTGAAGAAACTTATGTTGAGTGAAACAGGCAAAGCACAAAGGGATAAATACCATTAGTACTCACTCATAAGTGGGAGCTAGGAAAGAAAGATCACAGTGGTGTGTTGGACTTGCAGAGGGAGAGAACATACCTAGGGACACAAAGTGGAGTGGGGAAAGGGGGATGGGAAGGGAAGCAGGGGATAATTGGGGGGATTATTTGGTGGGGGACATGGGCTATATCACAATTTTGGGTAATGGGCATGCTGCCAGTATGCATCTGGCCATCACATCTTGGGCACAAGTGGTGACAATCAACTTTGTACCGATGAATATTCATAATCAATAAAAATATATAATAATAATAATAATTACTTGTCTGAGTGTGAGCTAACAGTATAATGCCCACCAAACTGGTAAGGTACCCTGAAACCAGAGAACAAAGCAGGCAACTCCATGTGGTTTACGAGTTTATTTTTATTTTTATTTTTATTGTTATTACTGATGGCTTGTTGTTTTTTGTTTGTTTTGTCTTTTTCGTGACCGGTAAGGGAATTGCAACCCTTGGCTTGGTGTCTCCCGCACCCGCGCTCAGCCAGTGAGCGCAATAGCCATTCTTATATAGGATCCGAACCCGAGGTGGGAGCGTCGCTGCGCTCCTAGCGCCGCACTCTCCTGAGTGCGCCAAGGGCCGGCCCCTGATGGCTTGTTACTTACAGGGATCGGGCAGAGTATAGACCCTTCCTAGTGCTGTGCAGCTGCTTTCTCCACACTCCAGGAGTTGGGGGTACAGGGGTGGGAGAGTTGAGGCTTATAAGTGACTTAGAGACAAAAGTGGAGCTATGCCAAAGAGAGAAAGGCTGCGGAAGTGCAAGGTTCCCAGGTGCTCTGCAGCCTCCTGTGGCTTATCTTTGGGGCTGCCAGTGTCACTCCCCAGCGTCACTCCCCTTATCTCAAGCACCGCTTTTCATTCTTGGGCCTCCTTCAGTTCCTAAGTGACTTGTGCAGGGGAAAAATTGTAACTATGAAAGCCAGAGCCCCAAGGGCCACAAGGATGGAGTGCATTCTGACCAGCATTCTTGCACTGTTCTGTATCAGAAAGAGCAGACAAACTGTAGCCCACAGGCAAAATCCAGCAGAGGCCTGACTTTGTACGGCCAGTGAGCCAGGAGTAGTTTTAATATTTCAAAAGATCATAAAAAAATCAAAGAAGAATATGAGGCAAAGATTACATGTGGCCCCATGAAGCCTAAAGTGTTTACTATCTGCCATTTACAGGAAAAGTGTGCTAAACTCTGGACTAAATGGTCACGGAGAGCTTCCATGAGGAAGTAATGTTTAGGTTGACACAAGAACACTAAAAAAGAATTACAAAAGTGAGTAGCCCGGACTCGATCCTCCAGAGCCGTGGTTCTCAAACTTGATCCTGCATCAGGATCACCCAGAGGGCTTGTTGAAAAAATTTTGGTAAAGGCCATCTTATGAATAAATTTAGATTCAAGTACAGCTTTGGCAAATTGATATGTGATAATGTCACTTACTTAGTAGTCATGGACTATGTGCTAACAATTTTTTCTAATCTATCACTTTGCTTTGTACATTAATGCTTTATATGTTTCCACGTTTGTTATTTAATAAAGCTTAGGAATATTATAACTTCTAGATATGTAATTCTTTTTTCTTAATATAAAATCATTTTCTCTAGACTTGTGAATTCTACATTCTCCCCCTCTGACATGGTTGCTACCCCAGATAATCAGTTCAGGAGTTCCTATTTGTCTTTTGCATCTTTTCTGTGCCTTTTAAAAGTGTATTCTGTGTAAAAGAGCATTTTGTGTGAAAATGACATATTTTTAGCTTTCTTTCTTAATTAAGCTTCTGGGATTTTTGTTTATTAGTTTGTTTGTTTTATTCAATTGGCTAAAATCTCCAAATTATGTATAAGAGATAATAGCAGACTTCCTGATCATATTTTGTACATTTTGGGGAATACTTTTTACAATTTAACCCATAAGCCTATTTATAGAATTTTGTAAGATACACTTTATCAAGTCAAAGAATTTNATGGGCATGCTGCCAGTATGGATCTGGCCATCACATCTTGGGCACGAGTGGTGACAATCACATTTGTACCCATGAATATTCATAATCAATAAAAAATATATAATTATAATAATAATTACTTGTCTGAGTGTTAACTAACAGTATAATGCCCACCAAACTGGTAAGGTACCCTGAAACCAGAGAACAAAGCAGGCAACTCCGTATGGTTTACGAGTTTATTTTTATTTTTATTTTTATTATTGATGGCTTGTTACTTACAGGGATCAGGCAGAGTATCGACCCTTCCTAGTGCTGTGCAGCTGCTTTCTCTACACTCCAGGAGTTGGGAGTAGAGGGGTGGTAGAGTTGAGGCTTATAAGTGACTTAGAGACAAAAGTGGAGCTATGCCAAAGAGAGAAAGGCTGCGGAGGTGCCAGGTTCCCAGGCGCTCTGCAGCCTCCTGTCGCTTATCTTTGGGGCTGCCAGTGTCACTCCCCAGCGTCACTCCCCTTATCTCAAGCACCGCTTTTCGTTCTTGGGCCTCCTTCAGTTCCTAAGTGACTTGTGCAGGGGAAAAATTGTAACTATGAAAGCCAGAGCCCCAAGGGCCACAAGGATGGAGTGCGTTCTGACCAGCATTCTTGCACTGTTCTGTATCAGAAAGAGCAGACAAACTGTAGCCCACAGGCAAAATCCAGCAGAGGCCTGACTTTGTACGGCCAGTGAGCCAGGAGTAGTTTTAATATTTTAAAAGATCGTAAAAAGGGCCGGCGCACTGGATAGTGCACTGCTTGGGAAGCGCGGCGGCGCTCCCGTCC